CTCACTGGATGACAAATTTATCTTTGTATCTTCTTTTAGGTACAGAATAAAAGGTCAGTATAGTTTATTCCAAATTACTATGACTTTAATTCACCCTCCCTGGCCCAACACACAAAAATATCACCAGTGGAGTTACCTCAGGTCTATGAAAGAACAGCTACTTTCAAATTCCAGTCCATCACATTCCTCATAAATTTTATTTGCTGTACCAGGAGAATCACATTCCACAACTGCATAGAAGTATTTCAGTCGCTTAAACTGGTATTCCCGCAGTTTTTCCCTATAAATCCTGCAAAAGTGGAGAAAAGACCAGTCAGGTGAGCATTTTATTCACAAAATCTTGTAATTCAGCTGTGCCAATCAACCACTCTTCTAATCTTGTAAGATTAGATGTTAAACAGCACAAAGTTCTACCAGTATTTTCTTCAAGCAAAAAGATTATTTCAGACAGTTTAATTAAGTGTAAAATTTGTACATGACTCCATTGAGAGGTCACAGGGATGAGGTTCAGTGAATTTGAAGGACACAGGTATCACTGAGGTACCTCTGGGATACCTGGATTTCTGTGTGTTGGATTCCAGATGCTTCCAAGCCCACTGAGCAGCAAATCCAACACTTCAGCATGCACCTTGATGCTCACAGTGCAGGTGACCTTAGAATGTGCTCTACGTCCACCTTACACTCTCCTGAGGCACTAGAGAATGTCCTCAAAGGGATCTGCCCTGATTTTAGAAGCATCTAGATTTTCTAAGTACAGGGCAGTCCAGGAGGATGCATTATACAAATATAGTCCCAGTCAGGCTTACAAACATCTAGAAATGGTGGAAAAATATCAAAGTAAAACCACAAACAAAAGTTTAAAAAAGGCAAAAAAGGCAGGGCAATGGTAGGACTGAGGAGCTCAGCCCAGACCAGGGCTATTGCTTGTGGCACTCAAGAAATCTGTCTGGAAATTCTTGGACTAAGGTCCCTGTTGATTCACAGATGAGGATTTTGACAGTGAGTACTAAAGAGTTTACTGCACAAATGGCAATTTGTAGAGAAGAAATACTGTTTTTTAAGCTACCCGTGTACTTGTGCCACTGATTATTCCAATGAGCTACATCATAAAGCTTTGAACTCGTATCAACAAGCAAATCTTCTCAAGTTTCATCATAATACATTTATTAAATGCACTGATAATGAACCACTGCCTGTTGTAAAACAACCTTTGAAAAAAACCTAAAAAATGTTTTTTAGGATGCTTCCACATATGAACTCCTGGAAACAGGAGTTGATTGGGATTTCCACTAAGAATTAAACATATCTTTCATTTGAAGACAAAATTAAAATTAATACCCATCATCCTCTGTGGTGTTCTCTGGAAGATCAAACAGTTCCACAGGTCCTTTTTGTTCTTCCTCTTTCAACCTCTCTTTTCCAAACTCCGAAGGATAAATCTACAAATACAACACAAAACTAAATTTTTAACTGTGGTGTAATGTACACTAGGTAAGAAAAAAAATCTCTCCAGGCTTTTAATCTTTACAGTTTTTATTCAAGATCAGTAAAGGGATCCATTCCATAAACTTTAATACCTTCCTAATTTTAATGTGTGGTAAAGACAGTAGAATAACAAAACTGCCTGGCAGGAATTTTCAGGCAAATGAAAAATAACAGGAACCCTGACTTTGTTCATTGTACTGTAGCCCTTTTCAGAAAGAGGTATCTGATTAAAATTTCTCAGAGAGCTGAGGCAGACACTGATAATGGAAAAATATAACTTAATTGGCCAGAATTGGCTAAATATTAGTGAGGTCTAAGGCTGGGGCTTAGGTCTAAGGTTGGTTTATGTGTCATACAGACCACTGAATATCAAACTAATCAAGGAAATGTAGTCTCCTCCTACTAGAAATGAAAACTTCAGTATTAGTCTCAGAAAGCCAGCACTGAAAGACAACCTCATAAACATGAGAAGTCAATGGCTTTGGCCTCTCTGCCAGATCCATGCCAGCTACAGCAAATTACATTGCAACACAGTTTCTGTTTAAACACATTAATATGTATTTCGGTTCCCTACAGCACTGTCTTACTTCTTATTTTGTAGCCTATTTTTTTAACAGTAAAAGCCAGTACTCCTTTTAGAAACCAGGAGTTTCTTACCTTAACAGAAAACACTGCTCCTCCTTTGGGTGTGAAAGAATTAAATAGAGCCAGCAAATCCTTAGCCTTCAACCTATCCCAATCCATATTACAAACTGCCAATCTACTTGTAATCTGAAAGAAAAAAAACATAAAATTCATAGATTTAATTGTTGACTGTTGTGGGGAATACACAATTCTCTAGCAGAACTCAGTGGTAAAAATCAAGGTCAGCAATAAACTGTGCTGAAAAAAGTAACAGCAGCACTGTCATCATGACTTTTTATCACTTAAACTAACAAAGATGAGAAGCAGCAATTACCAGAGCACATAGAAAGAACATAAATAGTGAAGCACCACAGAATGGACTGCACCAATCACAGATATAGAGCTTTGTTTCATCAAACACTGTTAGTTCCAGGAGCAACCACTATCACTATTGTGACAGCACTAGAGTGCTGTGATTTCTTACACACTGATTGTGCTAGTTGTAAAGCCCTAATTCACTGTCTCATGATGCCTTAACTTCTTAAAGTATGAGTTAAAAAACTAAATTTTTGAAAAGTGAAAAAAATCAGTAATGAATAAAAACAGTACTATTTAAATTCTGGAATTTTGGAAAGGCTTAATTTTGTTTGTCCTTTCACCTGTAGACAGCTTATCCATAGGTATAGGTAAGTGTGCTTAGGGGAAGAGGAGATGCCAGTGAAAACTGCAAGTCTCTCATTGTCAGACAATTTCATTATCACTTCCATTCTGTCACTAAAAGACTAAAAAACCTTTATGAAAAATACTACCAGTAACTGCTCCATAGATGATGGTCTATAATGAACTCATAACATTTCTGAGTTTGTCATGTAGCAACTTTTCACATGCAAAGTATTGTTACCTCATCTCCACGAGCGGCATCTTTATCCAGCTCACGCCACAAGTGCTCGATCTCTGGCTCCTTTGGAAACAGCTCATTTAAATCCTCTTCATCCTCTGAACTCGTTTCAATGTTCCCTATGCCTCTGGCTAGATCAGGCCCACTATCACTTTCTTCATCATCTTCTGAATCACTGTCATCTTCACTCATTTCCTCATCATCTTCTGGCTCCTCTTCCTCACCTGTTTCTCCGTCATCTTCTGATTCCTCTTCTTCCGATTCTGCATTCTCACCTGCAGAGGTTTCTTCCTCTAACTGGCTTTTACATTTTACACTTTGGTCACAGATGGCTGAGCAAAGAAAGATGAACATTAGATACATTTTTATATTAGAACTACACATAACCCTTTACAAAAAGGAAAACTTCAGGGCTTTTTTCATACCTATTTACAGGACTCCTGAAAGGTGTAATGATGCAGGAGCAAATTACAAAAAACATCAGAGTTGCCTCTTTTGTTTGTCTGGTCTAATCTAATTGAATTACTCTTTAGGACCAAAATTGCATTATCTATCTCAACTGCAATTGAATATCCTGTTATTTTATTTATATTACAGAGCCAACAGCTAGAAATCTATTTAATAATGGAGGCTATACACATGCATGAGCAATATAAATAAAGTTTTTCTTCAAGCTACCTGTTTTTCCTAATCCTCTCTAATATTAATGGCTTAATGCTGCCATGTTTACAGTTTCAGTCCACAAGCTGTGATGTGCCTTCATGGTATCAGTTCACACATCTGCTGTTCAGTTGGATAAATAAAGCACTGTATATGCTGTTATAAATTTTACCAACAGTTTCAGCACCAACAATTAAAAGGACAGGGATATTCATCATCTTAGTGAAGAATTCATTCTATACAGAGCTGACAAATCCAATCCTTCAGCAGCACTGAATCTGAGTCAGTCAGCTATTTTATAACTAATGTTGCAAAATATCTTTCATGAATAATACAAGCATCAACATCCAAATTAACACAGCTGAATTCTCCTTGTTACTTGAACAACTAACCTGATTCTTTTGTTTTCCCTCCTAGGGAGTGGTCCCTTCTGGAAGCTTTGACTGACTTCATAGCAGTCACTTGTGAAGACTTTTCCTTGTTTTGAACAGAAATGGATCTTCCCCCTGACACAGCTCCCTGCTTGTTTTCCCCTTTGGGTAAAAGGCCCTTGTTTCCCTGAGAGTGATCAACTTCCACTGCAGGTTTCTGTGAGTCCTCTTTCAAGCTGAACTTAGATTTATTTTTTTGTCCTCCTTTTTTAACGTCATTTAGTTTAGTCACTGCTTGATGTGTTTGGTCCACCCCTTGTTGGTTTTTTTTGCTCTCCTCCTTTGGGAGGCCACCAGCAAGAGCCTTTGCAGAATCTGCTTCTCCTTTACCTTTAGCTTTCTTTTTCTTTTTTTTCTTTACCGTGAGTTCTTTACTATCACCTTCTGAAAGATCAGAGTCAGATTCTGACAAGGCATAAAACTTCCTGAGGTTCTCTGTAGAGGTGTAGTTAACAGGGCGGCCTCTTTTATCCACTGTGTATCTCAGCTTGAACTTCTTGTCATGGAACATCGCTCGGAATCGCTTGTCAATCTTGACTTTACGTTCCTTTTCAGGCATCTCCCAAAACCTGGGATCCCTGGCGATGCAGCTGAACCGGCCATCACTCAGTATTTCCTCCTGGGATGACATTTTCGATGCTGAAGACTTGGACATCTACAAAATGGAGAAAAAACCCAAACATTTCTGATTAAAAAAAAACTCAGCCAATTAACATACATTTAGATATGTAACTGAAAAAAACAAGGGTTAAACAAAGTTGGATTTCTAAACTATTCCTAAAAAGTTCTTTCCAAAAGCACACATGGCAATTTCATAGCATCGCATGCCAGCCACCTGGTTGGAGAGGACCTCAAAGATCACCTGGCCCAACATTTCTTGGCAAAAGCATTGTACATACAAGATGGCCCAGCACTCTGTGCAGCCAAATCTTGTAAGTGGGAATCCACAACTTCCGTGGGGGGATTATTCCAGTGGTTGAATGTTCTCATTGAGGAAAAATTTCCTCCTGTATCTAAATGGAATCTCCCCAGGAATAACTTGTATCTATTACCCTTTATCTTCAGCTTGTGATTTCTTGTAAAAACAGAATCTCCATCTTCTCTGTAGCCACCTTTTTAACACAGGAATATGAGGATAAAGTCTCCCCTGAGCCTTCTTTCCTCAAGGAGGAACAAACTCAGCTCCCTATGCCTTTCCTCACAGGGCAGTTTCCCATTCTTTGGACATCCTTGTGGCCCTTCTCTGGACCCTCTCCAGCCTGTCCACATCAGTTTTGTACAGCAGGAACCAGAACTTGAACACAGAATTCTGGATGTGACCTGAGAAGTGCCAAGGGGGACAATGACTTCTTTAGCTCTGCTGGTCATGTCTGATGATGGAACCCAGCACCTTACTGGCTTTGGTGCAGCAGCAGATTTAAACAAGTCACAAATAATCCTGTACCTACCACAGTCTCAGTTACACATCTTTGCTTTATCAGCTGTGCTGGCAGCCCAGAAATCCTCTGTGCCCTGGGCTGTGCCCAAAGCTCCATGGACAGCAGGTGAGGAAAGCAATTCTGCCCCTCTGCTCTGCTCAGGTGAAAGCCCACCTGAAGTGCTCTGCCCAGATCTGGGGTCCCAACACAGGAAGAACATGGAGCTGTTGGAGCAAGTCCAGAGACCACCAAGATAATTAGAGTTCCTCTCCTATGAGAAAAGACTGAGAGAATTGAAACTATTCAACCTGGAGAAGAGAAGGCTTCAGGATCAGTAGTTGTGACCTGCCAGTATCTGAAGGGGGTCTACAAGAAAGATGAAGAAAGCCTATTTACAAGGGTCTGGAGTAACAGGACAAAGGGGAATGACTTAAGCATATTAGAAGGTAGGTTTAGATTAGATAGGAGGAAAAAATTCTTCCCTGTTACAGTGGTGAGGCCCTGGCACAGGTTGCCCAGAGAAGCTGTGAATGCCTCATCCCTGGAAGTGTTCACGGCCAGGCTGGATGGAGCTCTGAGCAACCTGCCCATGGGAGATGATTTCGAACGAGATTGTGTTTAAGATCCCTTTCAACCCCGGCCCTTCTATGATTCTGCGGTAACAGATACACCTGGGCTGCAAACATATCCCTCCGTGACTTCCTACCAGACCCAGCACGGCACCTTCGCCGCGATCAGCCCGGTGCCCACCGTAGCTAAGCCCACCAGCAGCACCAAGTGCACCAAGACGGCTGCAGCCCCCGCACCCGCTCCGTCCCCAACCCCAGCGACGGAGGAGGCCGCAGAGAAGAACCCCGAGGACGCCCCGCTCGCACCGACCGTGCCCGGGGCCCGCCGCTCCCTCACGGTACTGCCGCACGCCGCCGCCGCCGCACGGCCACTTCCGGCGGCGCTACGGCGGCCGCGGCGGGACACGGCTCCCCCTCCCGCAGGGCGCGTGCGCGGAGGTCCGCGCGAGGCCGAGGCGATGAGGGGCCTGGCGCGGCCGGCGCTGAGGGCGCGGTGGTGCCGCCCGCTCTGGGCGCTGCCGGCAAGGGCCGCCGCCGCTTCGCCTCCTTCTCACGCCACAGCCTCGCCGGGCTCGGGCGCGCTGAACCCCTTCGACCGCCGGCTGAAGCGGAAGCAGAAGAACTGGGCGGCGCTGCAGGCCGAGCCCGCCAAGTGCGATTACCTGCGGGAGGAGGTGAGGGGCTGGGGGGGCTGGCGGGGTCACCGCGAATGCTGTGGCCAGTTCTGGCCTCCGCAACTCAGGGACGATATTGAGAAGCTGGAGCGGGTCCAGAGAAGGGCGGCCGGGCTGGTGAAGGGGCTGGAGCACAAAAGCTCTGAGGGAGCTGGGGTGTTCAGCCTGAAGGTCGCCTTATCACTTTCTACAGCTCCCTGGATGGAGGTTGCAGGTGGGTGGAGGTCAGTCTCTTTTCCTAGACAGCCAGCGACAGGATAAGGAGACATCGCCTCAGGCTCTGCCAGGAACAGTTTACGGTTGGATATTAGGAATGTCTTCACAGAAAAGAGTGATCAGACATTGGAGGGGCTGCCCAGGGAAGTGGTGGAGTCACCCTGGAGGTGTTTAAGGAAAGGCTGGACGTGGCACTGAGTGCTACGGTTTAGTTGACGAGTGCTTTTTACTAATAGGTTGTACTTGGTGATCTCAGAGGTCTTTTCCGGCCTCATTGATGCTGTGATTCTGACCGCAGGTTGGCGGCAGGATCGCGGACCGGGTGTTCGACATCACCAGGTGAGCCCCGCATGTCCTGCACCCTCCCCCCATCCCCGGGGAGAACCGCTGGATGTGGAGCGCCTTTCTCCACAGAAGGATGTTCGGTGGGCTGAGTTACTGAGTTCAGTAAGATCCTTAGATTAACAGGTGAAACTTAATATAGTCTATGAATTAAAAATATTTTAAGGCTTGCTTATGTTCTGTATGCTAATCTTATCCTTTAGAACGTTTCCTCTCGCTTTGGATGTTGGCTCTGGAAGAGGTTACATAGCTCAGCACTTAACCAAGGTACTGTCTCTTCATACTTAAAAGTATTTAAGAGGTGTTCATATTTGTCTCTCCCTTTCAAATAGAGCTGTATTACAACTTTAAAAAATCATCTGAATCTTGAGGAGGTAAATCTAACCCCCCCCCCCCATACCTGTAGTTATAGTTCAAAGCTGTGTATTGTGCAGGCTATTCTTTGTTTATTGCCACTGAAAACTGGACAAATGGTAGTGCAGGGGAAGTTATCTGTTATAATACAGTTTAGTTTTGGGTAGGAATATGCATGCTTTCTTGATGAATCTATTGGCCACAGTTGGTTGTTAAAGAGAAGTGTCATTATGGAGACTTTGAAGCCATTAACAGTTTACTGTGAGTAAAGGTGCTTCCTTGGCAGTTAATGCATGGTTTATGTTTAACTAAACCTATGCCTAAAATTAAAGGATGTGTTTTCTGTTACCACTTCTGCCTTAGCTGTTCTCTCTGGGAGCAGGTGTCATGTTGGGTGGGGAAAAGTGCTGTCTGCTTTATATAAAGATTTTATCAAGAGTGGAAAAGATTCATTCTTACTTATTGTAAATAGGGGTAAGTGCCAAAAAATTACTTATGACCATCTACAAAATAATTTACATATTTAATAGACTTCTAAAATTTTGTTTCAGGAAACAGTTGAAAAACTTATTCAAGTTGATATCGCAGAGAATGCTTTAGTAAGTAATTTTTTAATGCTAAACTGTTTCAGTTCTGTAGTACAGGAAAATGAAGGAAGTGAGTTTCTGATGAGTTGTTTTTCTTCCAAAACATTAGAAAAATGCTGTAGAATCTGAAATCCCAACGGTCAGGGTTGTAGCTGATGAAGAATTCCTTCCTTTCAAAGAAGATACGTTTGATCTTGTTGTCAGCAGCTTAAGGTATGTATTAATAATTCATTTATTTAGTTTTGTTTAAGTTGTTAATAATATCCTTTCCAGAGTAGCTTTAAGAAAATAAATCTAGGAAAGATTACTAGTCCGTTGAAAAGCAATAAGAAACGTATTTGCATAGTTAATATGAGCATGCATTAGGAAAAGCTGCTGTCCTGGTGATTCTTTCTGTTTTCTTTGTTTATTTTCCTACAAAACACTTGGAGCTTCTCTCTTTCCTGCATTTTGACAAACTAGTCTCCAGGACTTGCATTTTCTCAGCCGAAAAAGGAAGGAAAAAAGTGCTACGTGGATAAACTTTGGTTCTTGTTCAGTGCCAGTTTCAAGCAGGTGTTTCAGCATGGTTGCACCTTGAGAAACCAAGTTTGTGGCTTTGGCTCCTGAAACTTACTTAGCTTCTTAAATAGTAACTTGCATTCCCTAAATTTGATTTAATCTGAAATTATAAAATGTACTCTTCTGTTATTTCAGTTTACATTGGGTGAATGATCTTCCTAAGGCTTTCAGAGAGGTAAGAAATGTTTTTTAATACTCTTAAGTCAGCACTTGCCATTACTTGGATTGAGAGCACTCTGTATTTCCAGGTGTTTAAATAAGAGGCAAACAACTCACATTGCACACAAGTATTTTTTGCAATACTTTTGGAACTTTGAGGAGCATTAGTTGATATTGCTATTAATTTGCTCCCTCAAATCAATTTGGAATAAATAACTGAAACAACATGTTTATACAATATTTTGGGTTCTCCACATCTGAGATCATGGTAACTAATGTCACCTGAGACAGTGCTATTGTTTTTTATTGTTAGCTCTTACTATTTGTAGTACAACACTGCACTTCTCCAGACCTGCTTTATGGACCTTGAGTTATTTTCATGTCTCAGTGGTTTATTTTGAAGTGCAGCTTTGAAATGAACTAAATACTTGTTGAGGACAGATTTTTATTTTTTTTTTTTCAGTAAGTTTTGCTGCTCTTTCCTGCAGGTGTAAACTTTAGTCAAATCAAAAATGTGGCACAAGAACAAGGAATGTTAACCAGTTTGCTGATTTTTCATTTATTTCAAATTGATCAGTCATTGCAGTGCTGTTCTAACACCTGTTGGTTGGAATAGGACTACCCTACTGTTAATGAATAAAGATCAATTTAAATGCATTCAGTACTTAAAAAAAAAACTTTGAATGAAGTATACATTTTTCACTGGAATTCTGTATTCTATAGAAGTATCAAATACAGTATTCTGAAGTATTCTATAGAGTGCCAAATACATTTTCCCACAGTAGATTTAAGTGACATTGTCTCACAATGAGGGGAGGGAACTGAGCTTCTTGGCCAACGTTCATGATTTGCTGTGTTGGTACCACTGTCTTAAACTAATGGAAACTGCCTTTAACTGCCTAATTTTCTTACCTGTCAATTACAGGCTTTTTTACTAGCACAGGAAAGGTAGCTTGCTTAATAAATACTTCATTAAAAAACTATGGAATTTTTTTTTTTCAAAACCATTGGAAATACTTGCTGTCTTGTTAGCCTGGTTATACAATCAGGCTCTTCTGGATGTTTAAACCAGAGATCATTTCCAACTCTTAAATAAACAAGAAAGCATGAATTTATTTGCCTTCTCGCTAGGAAGGGGGCTAGAACTTAGGAGACCAACAGAAACAAAGCAGACCTTGTCAGCCTTGGCGTTTGTGTTATGATATTGCTGTTTGGGCAAGTTAATAAGTAATCATACACATAATAAAAATGGCATTACTCTATTGTCTCAGAAGTGCAGAGATCACTACTGGAAACTAAAGCCTCCATTTCTCTTAAATCAAGCCCTTAAAAAGTGCTTTTGCTGTTCTCAGAAAGGAAAAGTAAATAGCACACTTACCTTCATCTACCCTCCTTTTAGAAGTAAATTAATTGAGAATATTGATTTAGGAGTATTCTGCTGAAAATAGTTTTGCACTCTATTCCCACGATTTGTTCCATGTTTCCTGACTGTAATTTCTGAGGATTTACTGTTAAAAATAGAAAACAGTCTCTCTTCAGCCAGGCTATTTGTTTGCAGTGTGACCAGAAGCTGTGTCACAGCTTGCCCTGCAGAATACAGTCAATATTAAAAGTCTCTTAGAGCTCTTACAACAATTGCTTTTGATTCCATTGAGATAGAAAGCCTGAGAGCCGCTTGGTTGCATAGGCTTCACCAAGCTGTGATCTGTGTGTTTGTGCTCTGTAGATCCACCAGGTGCTCAAGCCCGACGGAGTGTTCATCGGGGCCATGTTTGGGGGGGACACTCTGTACGAGCTGCGCTGCTCTCTGCAGCTGGCCGAGCTGGAGAGGGAAGGGGGCTTCTCTCCTCATGTGTCGCCCTTCACCGCCGTCGCCGATCTGGGACATCTGCTCTCCAGGGCCGGCTTTAACACCCTCACCGTGGTAATTATAAGTAAGAGAACCATTAGGCAGAGCAATCCAGAACGTCAGAGCTGCTGGAATATAAAAATCACTGCTTGCTAATGTAGTAACAACATGCTGCTTCCTTCTGCCTGTGGTGCACCTCGCTGAACAGGCTGCAGAAATAGCCTGGACTGCCACTGTTTTTGGCTTTGTGGTGATTAATGGAACCAACTGAAGTGTATCTTTGGCTCGTGGCCCAGTAGAATTTGGATGGTTTTCTTGGAGAAATGTCAAAGACTGTTAGACCTGCATGAAAAAATTACAGACACTTGCTCTTTCTTCTAAAACCAAGAGGAAAATGGCATTTAAATTAAAATTTGATTGCATTTGGGCTACTAAGCAAAACTTTTTAGACATGTTGAAATAGTACATACCTCTTAGAAATACATGATTTGAGCAGAAGAGACAGATGAATAGAACTGTAGAATGTTTTGGGTTGGAAGAGACCTTAAAAATCATCTAGTTCCAACCCTCTTGCCATGGCTGGGCAATATTTCGGTAGTACAGCAAGACTGAAATAATGCTGTTGGTTTAGCTTGATATGCTCTAAAATTGGACTTCTGAATTCTTCTAGGATACTGATGAAATCCAAGTGAACTACCCAGGGTTATTTGAGGTTATGGAAGACTTACAAGGCAAGTATATTCTGTGTGGAAACATGTTTTCTTTATCAGTGGAACAGACATAGAAGAGTTTTACTGTGTGTTTCTTAACTCCAAATCATAGAATCATGTGGTTGAAAAGAACCTTTAAAAGCCACCTAGTCCAACTTCCTGCAGTGAGCTGGGACTTCTTGAACTAGATCAGGTTGCTCAGAGCACTGTCTAGCCTGGTCTTGGATGTTTCCAGATGTGGGTCATCCACCACCTCTCTGAGCAGCCTTAAACAGTGTTTCACCACCTTCATCACAAAAAAAATATTTCTTAAAAAAATACAAGTAAATCTTATTGGAACAGGAGAAGCATTAGTTTTTTTCCTGCTCTCTAGAGAGTCAGGAGATGATGTCTATCAGGGGATTAGTGTTGGGAAGCCCAAGTCAAAGATTTGCTACTTCATGGTCTGCTGTGAGTGTTCTGCTTTCCTGGGGTTCCCATTCTGCATGAGCCTGTTCGGTGTAAGATGCAGAAAAGCCCTTAAAGGGAGACAGAAGCCGTATCCCACACACTGACTTTTCCTGTGAGCCTTACTAATTACCAGGGCAATCAGCAAACTCCTTTGGAATGAGAACTAATATATCCTTAATTTGGAGTCTGCTGAGGAACAGCAAACAATTGAGTAACGATTTTGTTAATATTCTGGTTGCATTTGTCGTGAATTGTAAAGCAGTCTTTCACATGCAGTCTGTTGTTACTGACAGCAACTCAGGGCATTTCTTATCTGGATCAACTGCTGTTTGGAGTAATTCCTTAATGGAAAGGCAACTTTTATTCTGAGCAGAAACATTCAGATGCAGTAAGTGATGAAAAAGATTAGAATTGTGGTTATTTTGTTTTGTATTTTAAATCTCTTGGACTAGTAATTTTAATGATTATCTGTTAAAACAATAGTAATGTGTCTGAGTAAACTCTTTGTACTCATTCTTAAAATTAGTTATACATAAGAGGCTAAATGTTTGAAGACTCAGGATGAAGAAGTAACAATTTGAAATTATTCCTAGCAATGCAAACTGTAAATTTCAAAGCATAGGAATTAAAAGTTTTGGATTCTTACACATAAGAAACTCACCTAATGATCTGCAGTGTGTTCTCTCTTACAGTGAATTACAGAGGATTCTGTACTTACTCTGGTTTAGTAAGAATCTGTCCTTAGTGCATGACACTTAACTCATGGCATGTGCTATATCTTCTTTTTCTTAAAGCTAAAACATATTTTTAGGTATGGGGGAGAGTAATTGCTCTTGGAATAGAAAACCTCTTCTACACAGGGAGACAATGCTGGCAGCTGCTGCAATATACCAAGGTCAGTATTTGAGAGGCAATGAGTTCATCTAAAATGACATTAAAAACACTTTTTCTGTGTCTTTTTCTATGACCTTTGTGTAAAAAACCCAAAACCCAAAACAAATGCAAAGTAAAACCAAAACTCCCAAGTGCTTCAGAACAAAATGCCATTATCATATGCTATTTTTAACCTTAATAATAGTGCCAGGATTTGAACATATATTGATGCACCAGTATGAGGTATTTTTATTGTCCTAAATCTTTCACCAGGAGTCATTATGATGAATATGTCACACTCAGATCTGATATTCTGAGAACTGAGTGTTTCCTAGAGCTGACGGTCTGTACCTTTTCTCTGTCCCTTCCTGCCCTAACAGAAATGTACGGAAACAGCGATGGCTCGGTACCTGCCACATTTCAGATCTACTACATGATTGGCTGGAAATACCATGAGTCACAGGTAATGTGAAGCTGTTGTTTTCTCTTTGAAGGTACTATTTAAATAAGTGATGTTTTAAAAGCTTTTTACAAACATTTTAATTTAAAATTAGCCCTATATGTATTTTTTCTTCTTTTTTTCTTTCCTCAGGCAAAACCAGCCCAGCGAGGTTCTGCGACAGTTTCATTTGGAGATCTGGCAAAAATAGAAGGACTTCTTAAAAGAGGAAAAAAATAGCTGTTCATCAGAAATAACAATTGTCTTGAAACGTCTATAAAAGTTTTAACTGCAGACAGTCTTCACTTGTGCTTATTTAGTGATGACATCCTGAAATGATAATAAAGTATGCACAGTAGAGGTTTTTGTACTGCCACGGCATCATCTGTATAAAATGCTGTTAATTTTTTGTTTCTAGATAAACATTTGAGCAGTTTCCTCTCCCAAGTCTTTGAGAGAGCAATTCAGCTCTCAACTGTTTATTAAATTTACTGTTTTCAAAAATAATGCCTCTTCCAGCATTTCAGTATCACAGGCTGCTCCAGGTATGGTTTACATGTCTTGAATGTATTTTTTAATTATTTCTCAAGAATAGTAGATCATAATAAATAATAGTGTATTATAAAAGTGAAGAATGGTAGCAGGTATATTTATGAGAAATCCTATAAAAGAAACTACCAGAAAATACAAAGATGTAAATTATTATGGTTTTTATGAGTTGGAAAGCATGGGTAAAAAGTTGCTGTAAGTATTGTTTCATATTTGAATAATTGATAGTTTATCTAAATGTTAGTTGAAAATTACATTTACTGATTACTTTCCACTTTCCTATGTCAAAGGCTAAAGAGCAAGAAGAGCAATTTTCTCTTTACTTGTGCCGTGGAGCTATGACTTTTCCTGTCTATAACTGCATTATCAGAAATTGATACTAATTGCAGCTATGATCCATTAATATGAGAGGTTTAGAAAAGATATCTGCCCAGAGATTTTACTTGATTGTAGCTTTAATAGAGATGGGGAGAAACAGAAGGGATGAAGGCGATACAACCAAATATACAGTTTGATAAGTTTTATCATAGTATCTGAGTGGTGTAGCAATCCTGGTGGAACTAAAGCCTTTATAAGTTTATTTCCTAGGTTTTTTAAAGATTATCCACCAGGTGGAGTTTGACAGAGCTTGTTCATACCCAACAGGCCAGGTAGGCAGAAGCCTTCCCATCTCTAAGGTCCTGATCTGGGGAATTTTTATCAACCAGGCTTTGACTTTGAATAAGAAATGGACAGAGATGGTACAAATCATGAGAAGGATGCCAACAGTATTCTGTCCTGTTATTGCTTACAAACCTAACCCATAATTTTTCAAGGGAAATGAGTTCATATTTTCTTTTCCTAGAAAAGAACAGTGTTTCTGGAAAAAGTGGGAGAGACTCTAAATGGTCTGATAACCTTTAAAGCCCTCTAAAGACTAAATATAAAACAAGAGCTTGTTTCTGTGAAAGCCTACTTTTCTTTAATACTACATCAGTGGACTCAGTACAAGATACTGCATTTCTCTACAGGTCTTATCTTAAATAAGATTCCCTTGTTTCTGGAGGAATCTCCGGTTTCCCAGATGTAGGTATCTGTGGAGTTATGTGTCAAATTAATATAACTTTATAAACCATTGCTTTAGTAGGTTAATTTCCAGGCACTTGAGCTGGTGGTTGTGACTCAGACATGTTAAGGCAATGAGGAGGTGGAATGTGCTGGGTAAATGTTAATTGGAGAAGTGCTCCTACTGTGCTCCTTTGAAGTACTCAAGTTATGGAGGCAAGGAAGGATTTCCAGTTCTTTGATTTCATGTTTCATAGATGGCATACATAAATAGTGAAGTGTTTTGGTAATGGAGAAACATGTCTTCTGAACAGGGAGAAAGGATAAGTAGCTTTCCTCCTAGCCCTTGGTGGAGGGAAATAAGGTATAGATATTCCATTAATTTGGAAATGGGCTGGGGAGTAATAGAAGTAAGGAGTAGCAAATACGGCATTGGAGCAGTGTGAGTTGGAATTGGGGAACGTGTAACAGGCAAGCAAGGTGTTCATTTCCCTTGCTGTGTTTGAATAACTGCCTTTTCTGGGGGTTTTTAACTGAAATTATGTGGGTTTTTTGTAGTACTTCTTGGAATTCTAGGTTACTTCTGGTTTCTACTAGCTGCTTGAATAAATAACTTTGAAAACAGTTTACTATGAACAGATCCTTTTGTCACAAGGCTCTGTTTCATTTCGATTATTTTTCAGATTTAAGTCTTTATGGCTTTCTAAAATAGTTACGGAGAAGAACGTGGTTGCCAGTTGCTACCCTAGTACTTTGTGTATCCTGAGAGTCAGCTTTTGCAGAGTGAGTAACTTCTAAAAGGTAGTTGTGAAGGTGATGTAATGTCTCTTGTAAGCTTAGTTAATTTTAGAAGCTTTATGCATATTTTTCTCCTGAACAGAATATTTTTCTCCTGAACACAGAATGAGAAAGGAATTCAAGGAGATAATTATTTTGATTAATCAAAAGCTAGGAGCCCATAAATAAAATAAAGTTTAGAAGAAGCATGGTTGCACTTAATGTAAGTATTTTTATTTTAGAGTTTGAGTCACAAATCAGTGAGAATGCTTGGTCTGGGTCTTTAGTTACAAGATCTGTCAATGTATAGTTTTATTCAAGTCTCTTAAAGATAAAGGGATGAGATCCTATACTTTCAAGACTAAGAATTTGTGAAGTTAAAACATGAGAGAGGATTTTTCATTACTTCTAATTTATAAAAATGTCATCAGCAGAAGTAAAAAACTGAACCAAACAAAATTAAATTTAACTGTATTTCTTTACACTGTTTAAAAAAGAAAAATATGAGTGACACTCTTTTAATGTTTTCTGGAAAAACTAGGAGCTAATGCTGAGCTTTCAGTTGGAGGGGGAGGAGCACACCAAGCTTTCTTATGGTGCTTAATTGGAATTTCCTGAAGCAAGAACCTGATCTCAGGGATTAAATTCCTTAGAGCATCTTGTTTAAGAAGGCACATTTTGGAAGGCTAGCATGTATGTTATACCTCTTAAGTTTTCATTTGTCTAACCCAAAGACTTAATATGCTCTTTTCAAAGACGTGATCCATTTTTGCCCAGGTTTTGTAGCCATTGCTTTGGAGGAGTGCAGTTATTGTAGTGCTTTAATTGGAATCAGTCTGAGTACTGAAGGAAGTGTGACCTATGTAGATAGTGGTTTGATTTCCTGAATATCTTGGGTGCCTTCAGGTGCAAGAAAAGGAAGAAGAGAATAAAAAAGAAAAATAAAAGCCTGAGTAAGGTAAGTTTAGCTGGAGGCTACATATCAGAGTGAAGCAGAAGACACTGAAGGAGTGTATTTGCTGCTTGTAAGGGAAATACAGCTCATGCCTTACTTAAATCAAGTTAGAATTGAAGAGATTTGTTGATTTATTGATAGCTTGTAATTAACTGTTAGTCCATAACCTCTACATGCAGGATTAATAGCAGCAATATAGCAGATAAATGACTACTAGACCCTTACAAAACCTTAGTAAACACCTTCACAAAACCTAAACACACTCCTATAGCAACCCCACAGCACCCACACATACACCCTCAAATTTGCAGGTAAATGCTCATTCCTGTCCCTTTGCCACGAGGTTTCAGTGGTATGAGCCCACCATTCTGAGAATGTGTTATCCTGTGTTCTTCCATCATCTGAGGAGATGTGGATGCTGTGGCTGTGTTCTAACCTGGGCTGTTCCTATCACCCACTAATGCACCCAGCTGCTGGGGCAGGACCCCAAAGGTGACACCCCAGGAGTGACCCATGCTTGTTGTGCCCTGTGTTCTTAGCCCACTGCCAGGGGAGGGTGCTCCCTCAGGCCCCCATGGAGCTTGCTGTGCCAGGGGCACCTTCTTGGTATCAGACCAGGTTTTCACTGCTTTTTTTCTCCCTGTTAGAAATTTTAGGGCTTTTTAGATTTGATTTTTAGGCTGATTTTTCTTTCCTACCTGAGGTCTCTTGGTAACTGCCTGATTACTGTTTCATGTGGCTGATGGTTATCTTCATTTTCAGACAATCTCAGCAGATTTTGAGCAAGCACCTTCTCAATACTGGATATTTTGTTCACACACATTGCACTTGTATTTCTATCACAGCAGCTGATTTTTTGCTACATTGTACTCCATGTAGATTTCCCCCATTATTTGGAGATGTGTCTTGGGATACAAGGTATGTTAATAAAAGAAGAGATTAATTCCACAGAAAAAGTGTTCCTGTTTGGAGCTGTGTTTTGAAGCAGTGAACAATGAATACTGGGGAATTCTGTTTGGCCTTGAACTGTTCATGATAGACCAGAATATTTTTAAATTTGCAAGTTTTCTAAAAATTGTAAAATAAGGAGGTTTCATTACTCAAATACAATCTATATCATACATATCAGATATAATTTCTGGTTTCATAGATGACAAAACTACAGGGACAGAAATACATTGGATATATTTCATCATCCTTCCATTACTAAAGGAGCTGCAAAAGAGCTGGTGAGGGACTTTTTAAGGCTGTGTGGGGGTGATGGCTTTGAAGTGACAGTGGGTGGGTTTAGATTAAATAATAGGAAGAAATTATTCCCTGTGAGGGTGCTAAGGCCTCTGAACTGGTTGCCCAGGGGAGCTGTGGATGCCCCATCCCTGGAGAAATGTTCAAGGCCAAGTTGGATGGGGCTTGCAGTAACCTGGTCTAGCAGAAGTTCTCCCTGCCACTGGCAGGGGATTGGAACAAGGCAAGCTTTAACATTTCTCTCGACCCAAGCCATTCTATGATCCTTTGTATAAAATATTACCTTTTTAGCCAAATTACAATGTAAAAGAAGTTACTGTTTTACTCTGTACCTGCATTGGTTTAAATGGTTTGAATCTTTAACTTTGAATTTTTTATATCTGAAGTAAAGCATCCTAATATTAAAATATAACTTATTTTGTTGAAATACTAGCCAAAATGAACAATTTACTGAAGGAATCTACTGGGCAACAGGTCTAAGTAGTAGCTTAAAGATTTTGTTGATAGTGGAATTGTACTCTCTGAGCTTTTTTTCTGCCTGGAATTGTTTTCTTCCTAAACTGAGCCCCAGATGGTTGAATGTGATACCCATTTTTTTAGCCATTCTATCGTCTTGTCTTCCCAGAGTTTGTGTTGCTGTAGCATTCAGGTGCCAGAGGCATCAGTTCTTACCAAAAAGGAATACTTAAGGAATGTTTTGAAGTCTCCCATTTATTTTTCTGCCATATATTCTATTTTTAGTTTTTTGAAGATCTGTTACTTTATTCCAGTTCTACACCTATTGATTGCTTTAATTTGATACAGAACTTATATTTGTTACGGAACTCTTGATATTTCCTAATGCCAATTGCTTTTACTTCTGTAATTAAAAATGTAATTCCCATCAAGTACCACTTCAGATTTGGTGATTGTATTCCCAGACAATTTATTTTCTGAC